CCCCAAAGCCCCAGTAGATAGTTGTATGTCATAGTTGCACATCCTTCTAGTTGCTGTATGTGGGACGCCGCCTCAGCATGGCGGGAGAAGCAGTGCGTTGGTCCGCGCCCGGATCAGAACCCCGGGCCGCCAGTAGCAGAGTCCGCGCACCTAACCACTAAGCTACGGGGCTGGCCCCAGAACTTTTTTCATCTTCCCAAACTGAAATGCCATACCCATTAAACACTAACTCCCCATCCCTCTAACCCCCACTCCATGTCTGTGCTTATCTTGAGCACAATGGTAAGTCCAGATTGTAGTTAATGTGGCCCAATGTGGGAGTCTTGTTATGTTTTCAGGTTGAAGAAGCTGGTTTAATCAACCATCCTCCTTGGAAACTGAAAGTCATCCAGCTGTTTGAAACACAGAGAGTACGGCATGGAATGATGACCCTGGGGCCTAGTGGAGCAGGGAAGACCACCTGCATCCACACCTTGATGAAAGCCATGACAGGTAAGGGGGCAGCCAAGCTCGTTGCTCTGGGTGACACATTTGAATGCCCCAAAAAGGGACACAAAGGTAGATATATTAATATATTTTTATAGGAGGCAATGTTGCTTTACTGATTATTGGGTACATTTTAGAGATAACATATTACATTAATGGACCAGAGGGGAAAAACATTTTTTTCAGCTTTATTGAGATATAATTGACACTTAACATTATGTCAGTTTAATGTGTACAATGTATTGATTTGAAACATTTATGTGTTGCAAAATGATTACTACTTTGCATTAGCTGCCATCTCCATCCCGTCACATAGTTACCATTTCTTTTTTGTGGTGAGAACATTTAAGATCTACTCTCTTCCAGCATTCAAGTATACGGTACAGTATTAATAGCTATAATCACTATGTTGTACATTAGATCTCCAAACTTGTTAATCTTATAACTGGAAGTTTGTACCCTTTGTCCAATATCTCCCCATTTCTCCCACCCCCCAATCTCTGGTAACCACCAATCTATAATCAGTTTCTCTGAGTTTGATTTTTTTATGTTCCAAATATAAGTGATATCATACAGTATTTGTCCTTCTCTATCTAACTTCTTTCACTTAGCATAATGCTCTCAAGTTTCATCTATGTTGTCACAAATGGCAGAATGTCCTTCTTTCTCATGACTGAATAATATTCTAGCATACGTATATACATACATATATGTGTGTATATCTATATATACACCACATCTTCTTTATCCATTCATCTGTTGATGGACACTTAGATTGTTTCTATATCTCGGCTTTTATGAATAATGTTGCAGGAAGAAGACTTTTTAAAATGTCTTCATGTGTTATGTTTTACATATGTTATGTCATTTAATTTTCATAATGATCTTGAGATGTTTCATAATGAACATTCAGAAATGTTCAAGGTTGCAAAGGTAGGTGATGGGACTCAGAATTAAGGTCAAGGCCCACTAATGAAACACCCAGACTTTCCCCAATATACCATGCCACTTCCCAATAATGACTTAATACAACATGCTACCTCTCAATAAATAAAAAATAATTCCAATTCCAACTCTTAAAATCTATGTGTTGAAAATCATCCTAATCATAAACTAATTTCCCACCTGGAATCAGATATTTTTCTACTGAAGTTAAATAAATGCTTTCAATTTCCAGATGTCCCTAAGCCTTACATCTACGTCCCTAGCCCGAGGTCATCTAAGGATAACGGGCATTGCCACATTCATGATTATTCTTGTGTTCTCCAGTTCTGATCGAACACTGATGACTCTCTTCCTAAAATTCTTTAGCCATGGAAGAGTTGAGTTCCAAAATTTCACAGAACTTTGGCTGTTGGAATGCATCTACATGATCCCACAGGAAAAGGTGGCTGGTTGGGTTTCCAGTCAGCTCATGGAACCCCAATGCACTGACATTGAGTTGGTGGTTGCTGGAAATTGTCTATGTTAGCTCTAGGGTCCTGGATTTAGTCTCAGTTTCCTCAGCTGTGGGATGAAGTGAATTCTGTACATCAAGACTCCACCAGGGAGTCTTCACACTGAGACAGGATTATGCTCTCAGCTATCATCTACCTTTGCCAAAACTGAGAGCTCACACCTGCAGGACCGACCATGAGGTTTTCATGTTTGCTGTTAAAATTCTGTTTGGGGATTTTTACATTGCTTTAAAATGGTGTGTTTTCCTCTCAAATTATGCTTAATAATACTTTTGTTGTTGTTATGTAGGTGTCTTCTGTTAACAATAAACTACCAATGCACCTGGTACTTGAACACAATGAGTACTAAATATTAAACAATATAGATACATTATGAATGATATGTCTAAATCATGTAATCCATATGGCCTCACTGGTTTTGGAGAAGTTGTTTGCAAAGATGAATTAATCATTAGACTATTTGCTGTTTATTAAGTTGTTCTTGGTTTTAGTATATAGGGCAAACATCTGTTATCTTAAGTGAAACACTGGTTTTTGCTGAAACTTGAATTATCCAAAAGATTGAGAAGGTAATTGGGTTGAACTTCTCCTAGATCCGTGTATGTTATTTGTTCTCTTATTCTTCATATATTTGTTGATGAGATATCTTTGATGTTCCGTACTTTGAGCTTCTGCTAGTTTCTGTACTAGATATGGGTCAGGAGGCATGAAATAAATGGTCATGTCTTCAAGGAGCTTACAGTGTAGCAGAGTGACACAGATGATTATAAGTCAACATGGAATTTCTATGAGAAGGTTTGGACAGTTATGCTGTGAGCAGAGCCAAAGGAGATCAGAAACCTTTCTCAGGAATTAGAGAAAGGCTTACAGGGCAGGTGCTACTTCAGCTGAGGTTTGAGGGTTGAGTAGCAGATGGAAAAAAGGCATTCTTAGCAGAACAAAGAGCTGTGCAGGTAGGAGGGACCGGAGAGACCGTGATATACCTGGGGAAGTGCTTTGGCGTGGATGAAATGTAATTTGTGTGTGGGGGAGATGAAGAGATGTAGCAGATGCTGTTGGTGCCCAGTGCCACATCCTTTTGGCCCTCCCCTGCCACAGATGCAGCTGTTGGTCAGTTTCTCCCCAAAACTCCAGTGATATCTCCCAGTTTTTCAGCCTTATAACTTTCCTTGAGGCTAGGGAACTGGCTCAGCCTGGATGTAGGGGTTGGGTGGGAATTAATGCCCCTGAGGCAGCCATACCCTCAAGCACCAGAGGAGAAGAGTTTGAAGGCAAATGTCCTACCTCCTCTTATCTATGGGAGGGACACTACATCTGTGACCAGCTCACCAATGAGCTGATTATTGGCTTTCTCTCCTTTCCTGTCTCACTCTCTTTCCTCTCACTCCAGAATCCCAGCACCCACTTCCTTGTTTTTCAGTCTTTGCTTTCGGGGGGAATTCAAATTAATACAGTACGCATGGCATGAGGAGCTTTGTAAGTCACACTAAATACCTAGGTTTTATCCTGTAGGTGATGGGAAGCCATTGATCTGGGGCGTGGTATGATCAACCCTGTGTGTTGAAGGCCATCTGGTGGCCATGTAGAGAATAGACTGCGGGATAGAGGGGCGGCATGGCGGTCCATAAGGTTCCGACAGCCAGAATTAAGAGGAATTAGTTTAACTCCCATTTTGAAAGTCAAGCATTTTTTTCTTAAAGTGCTCTTATAGAAATATAAAGGCATTTTAAATAAAAATGATACAATTCTACCTACTACCATAATGAAATAAGTTGATAGTTTCTCTTATATGGGCAACAGACCAAGTCCAGTTTTCACCTGCGATACTGTCATACACTTTAAGAATTTGCTGGCCTTTTGTAAAGTGTGATTAGATTAAAAAGTGTTGTCAGTCTTATGGGTATCATTTATTGAAAAAGCTGGATTGTGACTGAGTTGAACTTCAGTACCATAAAATCTTGCAAATGATTACCCTGATTCTTTTTGCGATTTTGAAAAAAGAGAACTATGGTCAATTTTCTAAACAGCTTTTAATGTAGCACCTATTCTAATGTGCATATATATGTATGTGTGCTTGTGTTTGTTGATTCCTATTGTGTTTTATATTTTTATGATTTTATACTTTAAACTTTATTCTTCACTTTTCTCCTGATTAACCAAAGTCCCTTACATACAGAATCCAGCCCATTTAAGAGTAGTTTTAGGGTTTGAAAGATTTGAATATCTTTCTTGAGGTTGACCACAAAAGAGAAGTCCTTGATTCCTGCAACCTTAGTTTAGCATATTTTTTCCAAATGAGCAAGAACACATCTCAGCAAATCCAAGCTGAGAGGAGCAAATCCAAGGAGAGAATGAGGCATCTTCTGGGTGAAACTTCAGATACAAGATTTACTCTTGTACACAATAAACCAAAAGATTTTGAGCTGTGAAATTTGAAGAACTTCCAGATTGCATTAATTTCTTCGTCAATTCCAACATGGTATTCTTTTTCTCCCTTTATATAAAGTAACATGTAATTTTCTTTTACAGAAGATAAAAGCAAAAGTGCTCTAATCAATGAAATCTAATGAGGCTAATTATGATAACTTGGAATGCAGTAAGACATATATTTTCAATGTAATTTTGCATTTTTCATATTTTGAACGCCTGCTGACAGTACACTGCAAATTAGTGCAATGTTGCCTAATGATGGTTCACTCTACATCTGAGTTGTTTAAAATTTGGATTTACTTGGTGTAGATTGTGGAAAACCACACCGGGAGATGAGGATGAATCCCAAAGCGATTACGGCCCCACAGATGTTTGGTCGGCTCGACGTGGCCACGAATGACTGGACCGATGGAATATTTTCTACTCTTTGGAGGAAAACATTAAGGGCTAAGAAAGGTAGAATATGAGTTACAAGTGTTATTTTTGACATGTACTTCTAAATAAAATCCTTAGTGGCTATTTAGAATTAGTGGAACAACTGTATTCTCCGTATAATATCTTAGCCAAGACTAAGAAATCATAAATCAAAATATTTGTGAATGTTGAAATACTGAAATTATTGATTAGTGTATTTAAAATATCCCTCTCCTCTAACTTTTTTTTTGGTTACAACGAGAATTGTTTTCCTTTTGAAAAGACATTTCTGTATCCCTGTGATATCTTAGAATAAAATAGAAAAAGCTGTTAAGGAAAATTGATAGTATTGAATAAAGTGATTTTACCATAACTATTTTCACTGAATATTTTTAAAATGTTACTCTATTTAAGTACAGCATATTTTTAGAAAACTGATTCCCCTATAAAACCACAGGAGGAAATGGGTTTCTTTGGGAAGAAAATTGTGTATATCAAAAATGGATCATATATTGAACTAAAAAATTATTCTGTTTAGATGTACATTGGTGTTTGGTTGTTGGGTAAGGAAACTTGTTAAGGGCTAGTGGTTCACGCTGAATATTCTCTCACTTATGGACTCTGTAAATTGAACCCAGTGTTCCCAGGATATAAGCTCAGATGGAAGAGGTGATATTAACTCTCTTCTCATTGTGTTTTCTCACTCCTGAGTGAGTAGAAGACAGGAACAGTGAATGCAATTGCAGGGAGAAAGAATATAGGAGGAGGACAAGATGTTTGTGACATTATTTATGAGTTTATGCTTTGGGCAACAGCGTTCTATTGAAAAATGTTTAAGGTGGTGCCACCAAAGTCCTCATTTAGAGACTGTAGCTGATCAACCTAACGTCAATGGTCCAAAGGGAAATGAAAATGCTTAATTTCTAGAGTGTGCTCATATTAGAAATTGTTGTTGTTTTACTGGAAATAAATCAAATTTTGTTTCTGATTTGTTCCATTAATCTTGCATAAACACAGATCCATTGACCAAATGTTACCTCAAGAAATAGGAGCTCAGAAAGGTGGTTTTTTTTCCTCCTTAAAAAAGGCAACATATGCTTTTTCTTTTAAAGTGACTCTGGTGATTAGATCATCATTTTACTTAAATTTGAGTCAAATGAGTATAATTAGGATTTTGAAAGCAGTTTATTTGACATAGAATATTTCACAGTTATTACATAGTAAGTAAAAATTAGAACTACAAACTTGGTCATGGTGTTGGTGAGTAAGAGAAACTAGTGGTTAAGAAGTTAAGAGGAACTATTAAACTGAATACCTAAATTTACAGTGGCATTCCTGTTGAGAATTCCGCTGATCTTTGTCACATTCTTTACCTCCAAATATCTCCTTAAGTGATTCCCATCAGGTTTTGTTCCCAGTGTCCCTCCAAAACTGCTCTATTAAGGACATTTGTGACTTCCAGCTTGTCAAATACAAATTGTCAATTCTTGGTCTAGTCCCGCTCTCAGCAGCATCTGGCACACTTCATCATTTCCCTTCTTGAAACTCTTCTGTCACTTGGCTTCAAGGATACCTAATCTGCTGGCTCTCCCACTTCTGCTTCATCAAGAGGTCTACCAGCGGGAGGAGCCAGCAAAGGAGACCCTACCAGAAATTTAAAGATTGAAGTGGCTCTGTCCTCAGACCTCCTGTCTTTATCTACCCTTATTATCTAGAAGAAACTTACCCAGTCCATGGTTTTACATGCCATGTCTAAGCTGATGGCTTCTATATTTTAATCTCCAGCCTCGACCTCTCCCTTGAATGGCCAACTCCACAATTCTATGGGATCTCTGTTGGACATCTCAGACTCACATCCCTCTCCCCCTTCCCCTCTTCTTGCTAAACAGGTTCAACTTCTTGCTGTTCATGGAACATGATCACCCTAAGTTTGTACCCATTTCACAACCTTTGCATTTGCTATTCCCACTGCCTGGAAAATTCTACCTCTAGATCTTCACATCACTTCATTCTACTCATGAAATATTCCATTGACCATCTTATCTAAAACAATGCCCCATCCTCTTATCCTGCTTAATTTTTCTTATCTTATATATTTCTTTGCTTATTGGTTTAGTTATCATCTCTTCCCCTTAGAATGTAAGCTCTGTGAAGTCAGGATGTTGTCCTATTTACCACAATATCCCCAGACCCTAGAACAGTGCTGATCCATAGAAGGTGCTCAATGAATTTGTTCAGTCAACAAATGACTTTTTGCCTTGATTATGGGCTTTAAACAACTGCTGTATAAAGAATCGGAAAACTCCTGTGTGATAAAATAAGATAATCCTTTAGATCAAAGCTTTATTTAAAAATTAATGAAAATTGCATCAAATTATAATACTTCTTCAAGCATCATAGTTGTGTACATATGCACATATATGAATGTATGCTTTTCCCCCGCCTTTGGTGGGATATTCTAGGGGAACATATCTGGATAGTTCTTGATGGTCCAGTAGATGCCATATGGATTGAAAATCTGAATTCCGTTTTGGATGACAACAAAACTCTAACCCTTGCCAATGGCGATCGGATTCCCATGGCTCCAAACTGCAAGATCGTTTTCGAACCTCATAACATTGACAATGCTTCGCCTGCTACTGTCTCAAGAAATGGGATGGTTTTCATGAGTTCTTCTGTCCTCGATTGGAGTCCTATTCTTGAGGTATGATTGGAGTCTTTCTTTTGTACAATTAAAGAGGAAAAGAGATCCTTTAGCATTCGTGTAGTGTGCCTGCTGATTTTTCTGCAGACCTGTGGTGTAATTGCATTTTCCTGGTAATGTTTATGGCAGATCCTTGATGCTCTGTGACCTCTAAACTCTGATTGCTCCTCATGGGTTCTTCCATATTCTTCTAATATCACATTAGACCCGTGATTTCCAACCTGTGGGTTGTGGAGTAATTGCAAAGCCTAGGTGAATCAATAATTCTGCCAAACTGTGACTGAATAAGTAAAATTTAATTTTATCACTTCGGGGATTCATGACATTTTTAAAAGGTGCTCGTTTGCATAACGTTTGGGAGCAACCATCTTTGAATATGAACTTGAAGAAGACAATTTATTAAAATTGCATATAAGGAATTTTTATGAGATTCAATAGTCATAATGTTAGTTTTAAGTTTGTACTTGGAAATAACATTTCAGATAATATCTCTTCACTTCATAATAAGGTAGATTATTTTATTACCACCAATATATTCTAGAATATATTGATTATAATCAGAGTATAATTAAATGCCTTGTATGATTAGATATTTTACTAAATAAATACTGTAATGTAAGGCAGAATGTTTATTAGATAAGCCATCTGTAAATCTTTTTTGACATTTTTGGTCACATTCGTTATTTTCATTTATATGTGTTTTTTTTTTTTTGGTGAGGAAGATTAGCCCTGAGCTAACATCCACCACCAATTCTCTTTTTGCTGAGGAGGACTGGCCCTGGGCTAACATCCCTGCCCATCTTCCTCTACTTTAAATGTGGGACGCCTCAGCATGGTTCAATGAGCGGTGTGTAGGTCCATGCCTGGGATCCAAACCTGTGAACTCTGGGCCACTGAAGCAAATTTAACCACTACGCCATCAGGCTGGCCCCCATATATAAGTTTTTGGAAGATGATTTTGATTGAAAACTTATGAACTCGTAATTTGAATAAAATAGTTGTTTATTTTATATTGCCATTACATTTTTGTGCTTCTATTTCTCTGGGTATATCCTAACTTTTAATAATATCTTTTCAGAATTTATACAGTTCTGGGTTGCAAAAGGGTGTAGATTTGGTAAAGTATGAAGATGTGAAGAAGGAGGGGATCATATAGCAAAATAATACTGACATGTAGTTGTGATATGTCACTAAAAATGCTTCTAAAGATTTTCAGTTTTCACGATTAAATTATCCATCCATTACGGAGAATGCAGAGCAAGGGTTTTCAACTCTGGCTTCGCAAAAATAATCAGCAATGACAGTACTTTAAAATACAGATGATTGGGTCATGCCCCAATCCTACCAAATTAGCATCTCTGGGAGGAGGAGCAGGAGTAGTTGTTGTTTGCAAAGCATCACAATAGATTCAGGCTTGGTAACCACAGATACAGCAAACTCCAAGTGAATATGTATTTATGCGATTTTCCGCAAATACTGCAAATTCACAAAGGCTTTTTAAAAATACTTTCACGCTACTAGCTAATGAATATTTAGAGTTTGCTATTTATGAAATAAGCTTCTATTATATTCTGTCCATGTTGAAGCTGAATAAGGCCTTTACATTAATGCTACACCTACCTCATATTTTTACATGCTTTTAAACAATGCAGTTTCTTTTTGCAAATGGTTAGGAAGAAGCAAGACTCACAAAGGATCACGTGGAAATGTTTAGAGCAGTGCAACGCAGCTCTGAGAGAGTTACTGGCGGGCAGACCAATGGAGAAGTTATATTCTTGGGAATTTGTCAGCTTCTGGGAGCCAACCTAATTACTTGGACCAGTGTATGATGTTTTTTGGTTCCATCGACTCAAAAGTGCTATATTTTGTTTTTGTTGCTATGGAACCATGGTAAATTCATGAACTGATGAATAATTTGGAGTCAACATTTTATTGCTTCTGTTCAGAGTCTGTATGAATGAGTTGATCTCTTGTTGCCAAGAGAACTTGCCTCACCTTAAGAAAATATTGTGTGTTAAGTATTATTTTGTTATGACTGGCACGCACGTTGCTCATATTGGGTTCCCCAAATGACTCAATTCTCCATTTTCCTGAGTATTCTTTGATATTTTGCTACATTGATTATTAATTAAGTTAGAAGAAATAAAAGGAAACAACTAATTGTGATAAATATTTGTTTCCCATTTAAAAAACTGGGTATGGATTTCCTCTGTTGATCTTCATTCCTTTTCCTTTTAAAAATTATTTCCATATATAAGCCTCCTCATTTTCTCCTAGCATATTTTAATCCAGAGGTGAAGACTTTTTATCCATTATAGCTTCAAGACCTGAGCATATGCACAGTGTTCTAGCTGAATGTGTGGACCCTAGAGCCAGACTCTGGGTTTGAATTCTGGCCTTGCCACCTATCAGCTGTGGGATCCTAGGCACTTAAACTCCTTGGGCCTCAGCTTCCTCCTCTGTAAAAGGAGGATAATAATAATAACTCCTACCTCATAGAGTTGTTTTGAGAATTCAATGAGTTAATACATGAAAGAATTTACAGCAAGGCCTGGCACATCATAAGTGCAATACTCATTAGATATTAGTATTATTGTTAATTGATATTTTAAAAACTTTTGTCTAAAAATGGCCATTTTCTTGGCGTGCTAATAAGTTTAATTAATGCATTAATCTGTGAACTAACAGGGTTTTCTTAAAAAACGCTCGCCTCAAGAAGCTGAAATTCTTCGTCAGCTGTACATCAAGTCTTTTCCAGATCTGTATCGCTTCAGTATTCAGAACTTAGAATACAAAATGGAGATGCTGGAGGCCTTTGTAATCATGCAAAGCATTAACATGCTTCAAGGCCTGATCCCTCCGAAGGTAAACCACTGAACTTTCTAGAAATTTCTCTATTAGCCGAGCCATACTGTGCAGAGAGTACAATATTTGAAATTGATTGTGTTAGAGCTATGGGGGAGGGGGAATGTTTCAAACATGGACCCCGGATATTTTGTATTTTTTTCATTTCTTTTTTTCACAAAGCAAGCCATGGATTTGTAATTTAGTTGCAGGTTCGCAATCATCTAATAAGCATCCCAAATTTATTTCGGAAACCAGCTTGGTATTCCTTGAGATGCGTTCCGCATTTGTTCTCCAGTTTTATTCATCTTTCCTTTGTTCTTGTCTTGGGGAATACTGTTGTCCCTTTTATATCTTTGCTCTTTTCATTAAATCTCAAAGCAAAGTTTTTGTTTGAGAGTTAAGTAATTTTAAAAAAAGTTACCTTCGTGCTCAGGAGCAAGGTGTGGAGGTCACGCCAGAGCACCTGGGGAGACTCTACGTGTTCTCCCTGATGTGGAGCGCAGGGGCCGCGCTGGAACTGGACGGCCGGCGGCGGGTGGAGCTCTGGCTGCGCTCGCAGGACTCGCTGGGCTTGGATCTGCCGCCCCCGGCCGGGCCCAACGGCACCATGTTTGACTACTACGTCGCGTCCGATGGTGAGGATGCTCGCTTCCGTTCGTACATAACACGCGGGAACAGTTTTTCCCAAATGGCCAATATTTACACGAAATAGATATATTTTTCTAATGGTAGGTAAAACTGTGGCTGTAAAATGAAAATGGAAATTTTCATGTGCAAAGAAAGGTAATTGTTTCTTTTTAAAAAACTTATTTTGATTGTGTTTCAAATGCCCGTTTGTCTCTTGTTAAATATATTGTGTAGTGAATTTTTGAATGAATTAAAACCAGAAGATATCCCAAATCAGATCTATTTCAGCCATTCGTTTGATATAATCAGCAATTTACATAAAAATTACAAAGTATGAAGTGTATTTTTACCAAATATGTGTATGTGTCTATACATCTATATCTACATATATTCTTTAAGCTTATTTGTGTGTGTATACATATGTATATAAAATACATATACACACACATATGAAGTTCATATATATGTAATATTTATATATCTTTTATTTTTGGTCTTACAATTAAGGAAGTGTGTGATGAAAAGCTTGTGAGATTAGACATTTTAAAATGATTTCAGGTGCCTGTTACTGTCAGTGTGTTCTAAATTTTTATATACACTTTATGTTATTGAAAACCTACCTATTTAAAAAGAAAATTTCAAGTTACTTCTTAATATTTCCTAATATTACCACTTGGGGATAGTTCCTTGGGAAATTCTGACTGGGCTAACACTCACTTAAATACTTAGAACTCTGATTCTAATGATCTTTATTTTATGGGAGTTTTTGGAAGATGTCTGCTCATTACAGTTAGGAGTTCAATTATTACTAGGAATATGAAGACGTAAATGTTCTCTGTGCACCTCAGGTAAATGGATGCACTGGAACACGTGTACGGAGGAATATGTGTATCCATCTAATGTCACCCCAGAATATGGCTCCATCCTGGTGCCAAATGTTGACAATGTGAGGACTGACTTTCTAATTAAAACCATCGCCAAACAGGGCAAGGTATGGCTCTTTAACTTTTATTAAAAACAGCATATTTTAAAATGTCACTTGAAAACAAGAAGCATCTTACATTTATTTTAGAATGTTTTATGTTGCTGTTTAGAATAAATGAAAATATTACCCAAATTAGTATACTTCTTTTATAATTCCCCAGTAAGAATATTAGAGTCAAATAGTTCTAATTCATAATTAAATAATTATTTGTCATGTATTAGTTGAGAGAAAGTAAATTTTGACTTGTTTTTCCAAAGAGATGTCCTTCTTTTTGGATCACTATATTAGTTTGCTAGGCTGCCATAACCAAATATCACAGACTGGGTGGCTTAAACAACAGACATTTCTGTTCCCACAGTTCTGGAGGCTTGAGGCCCAAGATTAAGGTGTCGGCAGGTTTAGTTTCTTCTGAGGCCTCTCTCCTTGACTTGCAGATGGCTGTCTTCTTGCTGTGTCCTCACATCGTTTTTGTGTGTGTGCATCCCTGCTGTTTCTGTGTGTATCCATATTTCCTCATCTTACAAGGATGCCAGTTAGATTTAACTAGGGCCCACCTTTGTGGCCTCATTTTACCTTAACCACCTCTTTAAAGACCCTGTTTCCAAATGCAGTCACATTCTGAGGTCCTGGGGGTTAGGGCTACCACATATGAATTTTGTGGGGACACAATTCAGCCCATGACAATCATTTAATTGTATTTCTTGGATTTCTTTCTCAACTCCTATTTTAGGCTGTGCTGTTAATTGGCGAACAAGGAACAGCCAAAACAGTCATAATCAAAGGATTTATGTCAAAATATGATCCTGAAAGTCATGTGATCAAGAGTCTGAACTTTTCTTCTGCAACCACCCCGCTAATGTTTCAGGTACTGGCTCTTTGGTATTGCTCATGAAGCCCAAGTTGGTCATAAACGTTAGGGGCTCAGATCTCTTTACTATTCTGCCTGTGCCCACTGAACTTAATCTGCACTTTCACAGCCGTGGTAAATCCCCTGCGTATGTCTTCCATTATCTCTATTCAACTGCAATAGACTCTCTCCCTAGTTAGATTATGATACATAAACATCTTAAATTATGGAGAAATGAAAAGCTTATATAAGATATTAAAGGCCTCAGTACTGTTTAAAATATTTATGTAGAAAAGCTTGTGAACAAGCAAAATCCAAAACTGAAAGAAATAATTTATTCCTCTACCTAAACCTACTTCCTTTCTCTATTGTCTGCTTTTTGGTGGGTGTTAATATTATTCTAGCCTTTAGACTAAATGCATTGGAGTTATCTTTAATGGGTCTCTCTTGAATCAAGGGCTGTTAATGTATCTAAAGAAATACTCTCACATCTCATCCTTTTTCTTCATTCTCCCTGTCTACCTCTGCATAATCCACTTCTTCATGATTCCACACCAAGTATTAGCCTGGAGGAATTCCCAGCTGGTCTTGGTTCAAGTATAATTCTCTTCCAGTCTAGCTTTTAGTCCTCTTCCAATCTCTGGTTCCTATATTGCTGCTTTTATCTTGTTGTTCCCTGACTTAATATTCCACAGTGGCTCCCATTATCAATTGCAATAAGGAATAAAATCTTAGAATCTTAGCATATTAAAGATTTTACCCTATCATATCATTGAGGAGTATCAGAAAAAAAAACCCCTCAAATTTGCATTGCTTTTGTCAATGAAACTGCCAAGAATGACTAGGTTGGCAGTGGCTGACTGGTTGTTTTTCTCCTGTTCCTAAGTTGTTTAAGACCCTATTGAAACTGGGGAGGAAAATGCTCAATGTCAGTTCATGCTTCAGTTGTTTTCAAATCATCTCGCATGTCTGTATTAGAACATGAATACGTTAATAAAAAAGATGCATTTCATAAATTGCAAAAGGAAGGGAAATTTGTAGGAGAATCCAAATCCAAAGAGCTTTGCTTTTGATTAACTTTGTTGTTCTTTAGTTGTTGGAATGAAAATATCAAAGAGCAATGAAAATTGTTGAGAGCATCGCTAAATCATGTACGTTTATCACTTAATGTAATTGGTAAATGCAGAGTGACAATAAACTAAGATCATTGATTAAGTTTCTAAATGAGACTGTCATCTATGTTATGCTCCTCTGTTAGAGATGGAATTTCCAATACTGGCTAGCCTTCTATCAGATGAATACCATTTACACAGTGTCGTGATGGGAAGGTCTGGATGGAAGGTCAACCTCAAATTGCAGAGACTCAGCAGTGGTATTTTTGAGTTTGGGGAACAGCACATTAAATGATCCTAGGCTGGCAAGATGCTAACGTTATACACATTCCCTTGATATTGTTGTACATTTAAAAAACTTTTGTTAGTTTTACTTTAAGAGACATCGTCTTTAAAGGTTATAATTATAACTTTACTTGTGATGCAGGTTTTAAAACATTAAATCAAAGTGTTGTTTTCTTTTCTCATTATATTGGGTAATTATCTAGCTATTCACATTTCTTGAGACTGGATTAAATCTTTAGGACTGCAGTGCAATTCTGACAGTAACTACCTGGAGTTACTAAAGACTTCACAGGTGAAGGACTCAGTCCTCACAAGACTTCCTTCACTTCAGAAACCAGCTACAAGCTCAGGGGTTCCCAGGCTGCCAGCACTTCTGAACAACTGGCTACAAATTCAAGGGCTCTGATGATCCTCTCAGTTTCTATAATTTGCTAGAATGGCTCACAGAATTCAGGAAAGTGCTATGCTTATGATTACAGTTTTATTATAAAAGATATGAGTTGGATCTGCCAAAAGAAGAGACGCATAGGGCAAGGTTTGGAAGGGTACCAAAGGCAACCTTCGGTGTCCTCAGAATGTGTTACCCTCCAGGCACACCGGTGTATATCACCAGCCAGGAAGCTCACCTGAACTACGATGTCCAGAGTTTTATTGGGGTTTCATTACATAGGCATGATTGATTGAGTCATTGGCCATGTGATTTAACTCAATCTCCAAGCCCCTTACCCTCCCAAGAGGTCAGCTGATATCAATCATGTGGTTCAAAGACCCAACCCTCGAATAAAATGGTTAGTCTTTCTGTCATGAGTGGTCTGAGGGACTCACCATGAATAACAAAGGCATTCCTATTACTCAGGAAATTCCAAGGGTTTAAAGGCTCAACCTAGGAAGCAGGGGCAAAGCCCAGCCAATTCTTTAGTATATAACAAGACCTTATCACTGTATTTTTGTTAGCAACTCTTGGTGATATTTACCCCTTTAAGGTGGTAAAGATCTGTGGTTAACCTGAGATATTTATTAATTTCCTGCAAAAAGGCATACATGATCTAGAAAGCAACCTGTTTGTTATACAAATTTATAAACTATATAATACATTTCTAGAAGTGGTACCACGTTGAAGTAGAATAATTAGAAGAATAATGAAGCGGGCTTTTAAAACATAAAAATCTGTATCCTTTAGGGTGCCATTATCTGATTCACAACTGCTTTAGCCTCATTCCTTCCTGTCCTTCAGTGTGAAGGTGGCATCAGCTCTTTCCTGTTTCTTCTTCTGTTCAGAAGCGTCATAGGATCATCTGCTCTGCTGAGTGCCTGTTTTGACTGCTGAGCGTCAGAGCTTTCTAGTACACTGGACTCATTAGTTTCAGAAAGCTTTCAATTAGCCAAGCTGTTGTAATTAACATTCTCACTGTAATTTTCAGCTGTTCGTGCTAAACAGGGGCTGGTGGAGCCGAGCCTTCGTCTCTGGTCTCCCACTTGTCTGGATCCAAACCAAATTGACATGGTAGATGAGAAAATAGATACTGTCCGTCCCTCCTGTGTTCCCACGATGGCACATGTGTCAAGGACACATGTCTGTTACTCGACAGGTTGTTTTCATCAGGGTGTCCTTTGTTTTCACCACGGTGTCACTTCCACATCTTTTATCAGTAGGAGGACTGACTATCTGTCCCTCTTTGCCTAGGACAGTCCACGTTACTTCCATTTTTCTCAGATTAACAATTAATGGCATCCCCTGTCACTATCAGATGTGTGTGATTAGGACAAAATTATGTGGTCTCCCTGTTTTTTGGCTAAGGGAATTCTGTTGGTCTTTTAAGAGATATTTTTTTTTTTGGAAACAAATATTGTTTTAATGTTTTTTTTCTATTTTTGAAAGTAATCCATACATATATTTAAAAATTTAAACAATACAGGAAGGTAAGAAGAAGAAAGAGAAAGTGTCCTAAGAGAATTTCTGAAAAGATTTATCTCTTCTGAAAATAATCTTAAAGTGTTTTGAATGCAGCAATCATCTTACAAATGGTTGCATAGCAATAGGTTTTGTTTTTTAAAAATGAGAAATCATAGAGCCTGGAAGGAAATTCTGCATTTTTTTCTAGAGTCAGAACCACTTCTCCAAATGAAATGTTATGCAGAAGACTAAGCTATAAAACAGGTAACCATGCATTTGCTTCAGTGGAATTGGAGCTGGGCTCCTGAAATCACTTTCAACCTCATCCCGCTTCCTGAAGGGCCCCTGTGACTGCAGAAAATCCTTTTGGCTCCTCAGAGCACAGTTTGAAGACTACTTTCCAGGGGAGATTCATAAGAGATAATATATGAAAGTATTTTTTCATGGTAAAGCTCTCTAAAAATGTCAGGTTTTACTGTTAATATTAATGCACCCAGGTGGAAGGAAATTAAAGTGCTTGTTTGAGTTCACATACTTAGTTGGTAGCAGAACCCAGTGAGAAAGCAGGTCCCTGTATGCTCTGCTGTGCTTTTCCAGTTTAGCCATTTGCCTCCTTCCAATGGCTTTTCTTTATCCACATTAATATTCAAATGACTGATTTATCACTTACTGCATTTGTTTTATTTTTAGCATCTAGTTATGCATTATTGTATTTTCATGTTTTAGATATCATTTTACTTTTTTTTTTTTTTTTTTTCTGAAGAAGATTCGCCCTGAGCTAACATCTATTGCCAACCTTCCTCCTTTTGCTTGAGGAAGATTTGCCCTGAGCTAACATCTGTGCCAATCTTCTTCTTCTTTGCATGTGGGTTGCCACCACAGCATGGCCACTAGCGAATGGTGTAGGTCTGCACCTGGGAACCAAACCTGGGCCGCCAAAGCAGAGTGCGCCAAACTTCACCACTAGGCCACAGGGCCAGCCCCTCATTTTACTTCTTATAATGTACTATTGAGCATTTTAAACTTCACTAATGTAAGACTGTTTTCATTTGGTTTTGGTGAATTGTAATAAAGTGGGAAGATCTTATTTAGGCAGTAAATTTTTTAACAGAGAGCATAATGTCTCCATTTTTATCCTTTAGCTAAATAGCAGATATATGGAAGCCTAAAATTAAGTATATTTTATATTTCAAGTTAATTGGATGTAATACCGCAGGCCCCTCTTATTTGCGGTTTCTCTTTCTGTGCCTTCAGTTAGCCCTTTTTTCTGACTTTAAATCTAGTCAGAGCTGTTGTATAAGGCCATGCAAGTTATGCAGATTTGTGTGTGTCCCATTCACAGAGACAGTTGTGTGAATGGTAAACCCAAGAATTGGGCGGTGCACAACCTTTTCAACTCTACATGACCCTGCCAATACCCCTTCCGGTGCAGTCTTTCTCCCTCTGTCTGGTTGAGGAAACAGACGTGTGCACAGTCCATTACAGCTGATGTGATAAGTGCTACTTATGGTGTAATCTAAGTATTGTGGAGCCCAGAGGAGGAGAGGATTAATTTCTTTAGGGGATTAGAAATCAATGAATGTATTGAAAGAGTTGACCATTACTTGGGGGAATTTAATATTTACATTATATTAATATTATATTAATTTTTTAGGAGTTTTAGAGGCTGAATTGTCTATTAAGAAATCAATTCAGAAAATTGAATCGCCCCTAGTTTTAGGGCTCCTGGCTTAGAAAGGAGAAAGGCAGCTTTCCTCACCTCCATTCCTAAATCTATCTGGATTTCTAACAATCTAGTTTTTATTTCTTCAAATGCCACCATCACAGGTGAGGTTAACCCTGGTATCACATGTGTGTGTGAGATAGATAGACGGCAAGATCAGAATCAGTTTTAGGTTCCAAAAATTGCTTAAGAAGATGATATGCTGACTACTATTCTCTTATTTCAGAGTAAAGTTTTTGTTTCTTCTCAGAAAACAGTGTAAACTGCTCTTAATCAGGCCCCTGCTAGAGATTTCAATTTTTTATTAATAGATGAGTTGAGAGAAGTGACATTTATGGAAGATCATTCATCTAAATCAATATTTCACAAATTGTGTCTGGCTAATGCTAATCCTGAGAGATTTTTTGGCTCAGAAATGGCTACTCTAGGAATATGTGAATAAGGACCTCATAATGAACTCTGTAAACCAGCCTGTGAGATGAGCATCATTTTATGGTATGTGCTTTACTGTTACCTGAACATGAATGAATTAACACCTTGAGGGACCAGAGCAAAGAGACTGAGGAGTGTTTAGAAATAAATCTGGCGAGGTAAGCAGGGAGCATCATGGAGTTCCTTGTAAATCACTAATGGGGAACCACTGGAGTATTGAGCAGGATTACATTGCCCCTTAGAAAGTTCATTCTGCATCCAGAGTAGAGAACAAGATGGAAGAGATGTGGCTGCTCTCAGAGACTGGAGAGGCGATTGTTGCAGTAATTCCTCAGGAGGGAGGTTGGGCTGGACCAGCATGATAAAAGTGGGACTGGAAGCAATGCAGGATGCATTCCAGTTGTAGATAGGAAGCAGAACTGGCAGGATTTGTTGTTGGTTGAATGGATATTGTTGGAGGAGAGGGATAGAAGAGAGAGAGAAAGTTAAATATGGCTCCCAGGTTTCTTGTCTTGATTTATCTGTGTGTCAAATATTTACTCATAAATACATTGTATCAGATACCTTTCTAGACGCTGAGGATGCAATGATGAGCAAGACAAATAAGATGCCTTCTCTCCTTACATTCTAGTGGGAGAGACAGACAATAATCAAATAAATGAATTTTTATTAACTGGACTATGGTTTATACCGCCAAAACCATGGATGAAGTGGGAGCACAGATCCAGGAGATCAGGGAGAATGTGGGTGACAGGGTACTACAAAGATGATCAGTAATTCTTTAGACTGATTTCTTTGGGGAGACAGAAAGTTCTAGATAAAATTGTAAATCACACAATATAGACAGTGTATATGACTTATAAAGAAGTCTCCAGACTGACTGGAGGAGGCAGGGAGGGAAATTTAAGAGGTTGTGATGTTAATCCCCGTGAGAAAGACAAGTAACTGACCTAGCATGTCATTGTTCAGAGAGGAGGAGATACATTAAGGGCAATATTGAAATTATCATAGAAGTTATCGTTGTTGGATGTGGAAATGTTTGGATGAAGCAATTGGGTAGTTGGTGCCAATTCCTGAAATGAGCACCCAGGAGGGGGTGCAGACTTTGGGGTAAGAAGCATTTATGTTTGGATATGTTGATTTTGTGAAGCTATGGAACATCTAAGTGGTGAAGTCCAGTTGGAGATACCAGTCCAAGTATACGGTTTTCCCAAATATTCCCAACTAAATACCTGATGGAGTAGAACATCCAATTACTGTGTTTTTAAGCCTTCAGGGGGTCTTATCAAACTCCAAAATGTACTGGGTAACTATTTAATAGGCAGCAATTCTAAAAGCAGAAAGAAGTCCCAACTTTAGGTTCACAAGCTGTTTAATTTTTCTCCCTCCTTTGTTTTTGTTTTTGTCAATTTAGCTCTTTTATGACTTACATAGTTTACTAGTAATTTCCAGCTATTTCAAAGAAATTAGGGTCAGAATGAAGGGGAAGAAAGTGCAGGTATGTGCCAGTTACTCCGTATTATCTCACCTGTTCCACCTGTGGCTTTTTGGGTCTTAGAAGGCCCCCTGAGGCCTAAAGTCTTCCTGTGCCTGTGAGTTCTTATTAATATACGAGGGAATGCCTGAAAGGCTCTAGTTTGCCAGAGGGAGGTGTCAGGAGAATATTAATTGCCTTACACATTTAAATTCATTGAAAAGCAGAGCTAAATTTAGCCTAGTACATTACTTTAAACAGTTTGCTTTTATGTCAGGGGAATATGAAATTTGTTTTGCCATTGTACTGTTGTCATGGGAGATTTGTTTTGTAGTTGAATAAATGTGATATATTTATATACCTTTCTATTTAAACATGGTGAAAAATTTCACCTCTTGCTATTATTCATTAAAATGATGATGGAAACACACAATTTGAAATTACCAAACTATGAAGATTTCCAAGGACTGGTGTGTAGTTCTTTGCTTATATCTTGGCCTTATTTTGTGGTTGTATCCTGGATTATTAAAGTCATTTTTAGCTGGTTTACTCTTCATCCTAAAATAAGAAAACTTTTTTGGATAAGAGGAGAATGCGTTTTATCTCAATATGCCTCTACTTTCTCCTATATTTATACATTATCTTTAAGATGACTTAAATTCATGGGTCAGTAGCTTCCTACAGTGGTAGGAATGAAATGAGTCCTTAGGACTGAGCTTCTGGAGCATGAGAACCGTGAAGCCCTTTCTGTTTTCTTTGCAGTGCTAGCTCTGGTTACTCAGTACACACATTTTGATTTAATGATTGATTTCCAAACTATGTTGTACTACATGGAAATGATAATACTGTAGTCAATAGTCTGGAGTCCTTCCCCCATGTCACCCTTACTCCATCCAACACGCTTTCCATCAGTCTTTTTTAAATTGAGGTATAATTGACATATAACATTATATTAGTTTCATCAGTTTTAATGTTCTTTTTCATATTGCTAGGAAAATTTTTTGTAGAACACAGTGTAGTGTCCTCCTGTACCCTCTAAGCTCAGAATGTAGAAATGAGAGAGGAGACACAGGTGGGCATTGTTCTCCATTTTGTATGAGGGGATGGGAAGTAATTCAATGTGATTGCATTTGCCCCAAAGCAGTGGATCTGGATTGTGTCAGGCTACAGAAGCCAGTTGACAGCCTTCTCAATGGAGAGGACAGTCTTCAGATGATGACAGGCTGTGCAGCTCAGAGCGCAGACCTAAGAAGAAGCTTCTTGGACAGTAGCCCTGAATAACTCTGTCCCTGATTATAGGGAAACTTTCAGCAGGGCTGGACCCTTTGAATAATGGGGGTTGTGCGTTATAGTGTCATCAACGTAGGCACAATGAGACAAAAGTAAATCTGTAGAAATGGACCGAAGAGTCTCATCCCATTAAAAATTTACATTGATCAGAATTTCATTTACTCCTAAATTAAACCAGATTTTCACAGGTTGTAAAGATTAAACAAGATGATTTAGGTACTTTATGCCCTACTTTCGAGAATTAAGGGGAGTTTTTCTGAGTAATTCCTGTCGATTCAAATGTTTCTGGATTTTTAAAATAATTTACCACGTCTTAGGGGATATTTTCACAGACGTTTCTGTTGGCTTTCTTGTTTAACAGAGGACGATAGAGAGCTATGTGGATAAACGCGTGGGTACAACATATGGTCCTCCTGCAGGAAAGAAGATGACTGTTTTTATTGATGATTTGAATATGCCAGTAATCAATGAGTGGGGAGACCAGGTATGTCAATCCTATTGTGAATTTTATTTCTTCAATTCAGCATTGATTTATCTTTTGTTGAGTAAATATTTTTCTACTTTTTCAACGTGCAATTTCTGAATTCTAATAAAGTCCATTATTTGGAAACACTCAAGGAGTTAGGTTCTGGGATATAAAGGAATGACATTTTAATTCTGAAAGTTGTCTTTCTTAGGTTACTAATGAGATAGTACGACAGCTGATGGAACAGAATGGATTTTATAACCTAGAGAAGCCTGGGGAGTTTACCAGCATTGTGGACATCCAGTTTTTGGCAGCCATGATCCATCCTGGGGGCGGACGCAATGATATACCCCAAAGACTCAAGAGGCAGTTCTCTATATTTAACTGCACGTTGCCCTCTGATGCTTCCGTGGACAAGATCTTTGGTAAAATGAGTGTCAGTGACCCAAGGGTCAACACAGAAGGAACATTGGGTGGCTTCTTCGTTTATTGTCCTCATCACTTTAAAGTAGTGTATTTTGTTTACATAAGGATTTATTGTATATATGTGCTGAATTAGGTGCCTAGGTAGATCTTTTCTACCTAGGTTTTTCTTAAAGTAACTGCTGCTAGCTTCTTAAGCAAAGAGGTTAAATATTAAGTGAACATGGAGATAATGAAATTGTTTCCTCCTGGATAAACATATTTGAGGTCTGGATTGATATAATACCATGCCAAAAATTTATGTAGCTGATACTTTAACCAACCCATGTAATGATTTTGACCAAAGAAATAATTTTGTGCAGAGCAGAGATTAGCCTAAGTCTGATCTTCAGGGTAATTTATAGGATTGCAATAAGTTATTGATTGATTAAATATGTAGTTTTTCAGAAATAATTATATTGAAGAAACAGTAGCCCAATAGCTAACCATAATTATTTAGCTGAGTAATGAAAATAACTTTATAACTGATTTTGGAATTACTCTTTGCAGAAAAAGAGTGTAAAGTTATGTATGCATTCGTGTTAGGTATTAATTTACCATTTCTGAAACTGCTGCTGAGAAAAACCTCATTAGGGTTACCCTAATTAATTTCTGGCAGACTAAAATGTCATCTTAGCGCCCTAGGCTGGTGGAGTATGGCAGCATCTGCCTTCAATCACAGCAGTGGGCAAAGGTTGGGAAACCAAATAACATGTGAATTATCTAAACTTGGGAAAAGTAAAATGGACCAGAAAGAATGACTGTTATCACTTTTAATTGTTCTTTTTTGCCTGAAAACTTTTACATAGTAAGTAAATTAAAATATTTTATACTGCACGGAAAGGCAACAACAGAATGGAAAAATCTTAGAGGATTCATGAAACCTCCCTTTTTCTTATCTTCTATAAGGCAACTTTATATATTTATCAGTTACCCAATTAATAACATTGAATTAGTTCAGCTAGAGTTTTCAGTAGTATTTCTTAATCAACTTTTCTGTATTTGAATGCTAACTTGCTTGAAGCTCTGTCTATTTTTTAGATTAAAAAAAAGAGAACATTAATTAATATAAATTTCTTTAATATGTGGTTATCTATTACAATACTGATGTTTATGCAAACTTTACTTTATAACGTTTTTCATTTTAACTTAGTTGATTTGACCCACCAGTCAAATGTTATGACTTTTTTTCCCTTTTCAGGTGTGATTGGGATAGGCTACTACTGTACCCAAAGGGGTTTCTCAGAAGAAGTAAGAGAGTCAGTGACGAAATTGGTTCCCCTGACCCGCCGACTATGGCAGATGACTAAGACTAAAATGCTCCCTACCCCTGCAAAATTCCATTATGTATTTAACCTTCGAGATCTTTCTAGGATCTGGCAGGGAATGCTGAACACTACTTCAGAGGTTATCAAGGAACCAGATGTAAGTGATACATAAGAGGGGAAAACCATGACATTGGTATTTATTTTACACCCTAAATGTTCTTTGTAATGTAATTTTTAGTGGAATTATGAAAATATTTTAGGATATTTTAGCATGGATATCCTTTTCTTTGCTGCTTTTCAACTAACATAAAAAAGAGAAAGGTATGTCAGAAAGTTTCTTTAAAAAAATTCCAATTAAATTAAGTTTATGTTTAAGGAAATAGTATATACAATTATTTTCTGATGAATAGAATAAAGGAAACAATTGATTTTATTTTCCCATCATAAGATATTTTTTGTATACGAAATTTTGGAAAGAATCACTATTGATTTTATTATGTAATTGTCTTCATATTTTAAACTTGACATTTTAACTTAAAAAAAGTAATTATCTTTAAACATTCAAAATTGAAGAAATCATTTTGTTGTTAATCATCCATGATCTTTCCTTTTCCTGTAACTAGATGCACTAAAAGAATTACGTATATTGGTAAATTGAAAAGAGACAGAAGAGTAGAAATTTCATTTGACAGAAAAACGAGCATTTGTACATATCCTTGACTATAACAGTTCCTAGCATTATAAGAATTCCCTTGGAACTAGGAACCTTATGTAAAAATCCAGTATGTCTTGTTTTCCAAAGCATGGCCTGTATGCTCTCTTTCAGCCTTTTATGGAACCAAGGAGGTAGTTAAGCAGTTGGGTTTTAGGGGACTTCTCCACATAAACACACAGAGACAATTGAGATATTGACCAAACTGTCACTAGGCACGTCAAGTGCCCCTGATGCTCACAAAGTAGGTAACCCCACTGGCTGACTCTTGAGGACAAGGCATTTTGTAGAAAACTCACTCTCCTTGTTACAGAGAATTGAGAATCGTTTTAGCCGCAGTGAACATTTTAATATGATTTTTTTCCTCAAAGTTATTGCCAATTAATGGCACTGTGAATGCAGTTCTCCAATATGACTTTTTGAGTAGCCAGTTTTTGGTGCTTATTTTAAATCAGCATGAACAGTTCCAGCAATTGGTGTTATCATGAACTTGCGTCTTAACTGAATCATTGAATATATTTTACTAAACTTCTTTTATATTCTGGCCAAATAACATTTTATCATTAGTAACATAATGGCTTAAAAATCTTCTAACTTGTAAAATGTTACCAAGTTAAGAAATTTCCACCAGTCTTTCTGATCAAATACTGAGCTTAGATAAACATTTGTTATTCTTGCTATAGGAATAGGAGTATTGGGTAATTAATTTCCTCAACTTCCAGAAACTTTGGGCCTGGATTATCTAGACTAGGTGATTACTTTGTTCAGATAATCCAGATTTTTGCCACAAATTTTCTTCACATTGTGTTGAGTAAATATACCTTTGCAAAATCTCAGTTGTATACATGGAAGTGGTTTACATACTGCATTTTATATTATGCTCTGGTCGCATGAATGTAGGTGTCTTATCCAAACAGACTAATTTGTCACAAATTTAAGACTTTTATATAGAATATTAGTTTCTTGGTTGATCAGAGTGATTTTAGATTTTCTCTAGGGATGTTTTCATTTTAATTTAAAGACCGGAAATAAATAGACACTACTTTCTATTTAATGTACTTGATTGAGACCAATTTGAAATGAAGTTAGGTATATTGCAACCTTCACTTTTTAAAATGTAGCATCTTAAATCAGGAAGGATGGTTCTGTACAATATCGTCAACTTGAATTCCCAACTATGGCAAATAGGAAATCATAATGCACGTGAATTATGCTTTCAACAGGACCTGTTAAGGCTGTGGAAGCATGAGTGTAAACGGGTTATAGCTGATCGTTTCACGATGTCTGATGATGTGACCTGGTTTGATAAGGCTTTAGTAAATTTGGTGGAGGAGGAGTTTGGTGAAGAGAAAAAACTCTTGGTGGATTGTGGAGTTGACGCTTATTTTGTGGATTTCTTGAGGGATGCGCCAGAAGCTACAGGTAAATGATTGAAATAGAATTTGAAATTCCCCAAAGGGGTGTCTGAAGACAGAAGGTTCAGTTTAGAGATGTTGAATTTCTGTCTAGTAAACTTTACTAAAACAAGCCTGGGACCTAGCAGGTGCTCAATAAATATGGAATGAGTGGATAAGTGCATACTCATGGAGTTCAAAGATTACTTTTTATGCATGTCAATCTTGGATATTAAGGTAGAGTTGGGAGGCAGGATAAGATAGAAGAAAGTGCACAGGACTTACAGCTGTCACACAGAGGTAGATTTGAGGAAGAGAGTTACCACACATTAGCTGAGCAAGTCTTTGAACTTTCTTGAACCTCATGCTCCTCATTTATAAAAATTGGAAATGTTAATATATCCCTCATGGGGCCGTGTGGGGAATAAATGAAACGTTATCTATAGAATGGCTTGGGCAGTCTGTGACTTATAGTCACTGCTGAATGAAAGGTAGCAAAAATAATGATAATTATTATTTGGGCCACCCTGAGTGTTGAAAATAAAAAGAAAAATCTCAAATTATCTGAAAGGGCCATTGAATACAATTGGAAAGAGATAAATGATGTGGAGGCAAGTCTTTGTAGTTATGGTTCCATGAAAAATTGAGATATATATTACTTTTCTTATGAAAAGAAGCGGTACTCCAATTATTTTTTTCCCCTCAGAAATAACTGAGTTAAGTAGAATATTTTTCTTTCATTTGATTACCTCTTCTATTACTGAGGATGAATTTTAAGTCAACTTCCATATTTAAAAAGGCGTGTTTAAACATATGCTATTTATATTGTCTAAATGATTGAAAATGACCAGGCAGCCGCTTATTAGATTTGATAAGTATATGTGTGATCTATCCAGTTTCTGAGTGACAATTGCAAAAGGAGATTTATTGCTGGCTATGCAGTTGGAAGGATCCTTCCCCAGAAAGAAGCTGACACATTTTATTTTAAATCAGGTCACACACGTACAAAAATCCTATAAAGGTAAAAGCATTTACAGGATAATTAGGATTTATATATTTTATTTCCTCTTATTCAGAAGGATGCATAATTAGGTTATGGTTTTCGTGGAGCAAAGCACAACTGCTGTATTTTGGGGCAGGGGGTGTTGGGAGGCAAACACTTAACCTTTTGTAACTTCAAAGCACTTTGTTTTTCAAAGCTTGAGTTGAACATTTATGAAACAGTGAAGTGACTACTGAAATTCAATTAGTGAGAGCTTTGCAAATAGGCCAGTCTTAATGATTATGTTAAATCAATTTCCTTGCTTTGTCATACAAAGGTTAATATACTACTATGTTAGGACAGGGTCAATTGAAAATAAGTATGTACCGTTAGAATTGGAAGATCCACTCACTTTTCTAGTACCCAGTGAATTTCTAAGTTGTTATTAGTATATTCAACTCTGTCACTTTTTTTCCTATTACTAGTGTTAACTGATCATGAACATACATATGCCTAGTTTAGCTTTTTCTTTGGTATTATGCTTTATAGTGGAAGTTGGGAAAGTGTTAAGCTAGTATATTATGTGTTTCTAAATTTTAAAAACTATATTGATTTAAATACTTTTCCCAGTGAAATAATTCAATATGTTTATTTATTTAGGAAATCATTTTTCTATTTTCTCTCAACCCTCCACATCCATTCCCTCAAATTTACTTCTATCCTCACCACTAACCTGAAATTCCTAAATCATAAAAACTTCCTGAGCAAATCCAATGACCTTTTTCTTTTTATTCTTATTAAAAAATCATTTAATTCTTGCCTTGTCTTGCTGATTTTGACATTAAATCCCTGCTTTTTTGATCTTCATTTTGACCATTAAGCAAATATCTCTGGGAGGGACCTTGAAATGCCGACATTCAATTATGGATTCAAATTAAATTCAATGTATATAATATTTGAAATTGGCCCTTTCTAGACAGGAAAGAACTAAGACTGCATATGATCTCAAAAATTCTAACGCTTTTGCTATTATTTGTTTTCTTTTCTTTTCTAAAAATACATGATACAAAATTGGATGAAAATCGATATTATTCAGTGTTCAATTGTAGAGCTGAGTGTGTTAATTTGGGTTGAAGAAAGTAGTATAGTCCAGTGATTTGAAGAAACTTAATTGATTCTTCTTCCTCCACCCCAGGTGAAACATCTGAGGAGGCTGATGCTGAAATGCCCAAAATTTATGAACCAGTTGAATCTTTTGATCACCTAAAGGAGCGTTTGAATATGTTCCTGCAGCTCTATAATGAGAACGTCCGTGGCGCTGGCATGGATTTGGTGTTCTTCGTGGATGCAATGGTTCACTTAGTCAGGGTCAGTGGCCACGCCCAGTAGCGCCTCCCCAAAGTGATGGATACTTGGCTTTAAAGTTTTTTCCCTCCTCTTTCATTTTCATCTCCTAGGAGAATATTCAGTTTAAAAATAAATGCAATGCTCTATTCCAATTTAATTTCTAAATTGAATGCAACATGTCACACCTATAGGCTTAAAATCAGAGCGTGTGTACTTCAAATGTGTGATATGATAATTTTATTCAGTGTCACTATACAGCTTCCAGCTCAGTGTTTTCACTACGTAGCGTGAATATGGTTGGCATCTGAGTTCAAAGCACAGGCAAAAAGTCTGCTTATTTTTTGTATCATGCAAAGGATAACTATGTAAAAATAGTGCATAAACTTTGAAGATATGCTAAGTGAAATAAGCCAGTCACCAAAAGACAAATACCTCACTCATGTGAGATCCCTAGAGTAGTCAAATTCATAGAGATAGAAAGTAGAAAGGTGGTTGCCAGGGGCTGGCGGGGAGAGAGAATGGGTTGTGTTAATGGTACAGAGGTTCATTTTTGAAAATAGTTTTGGAGATGGATGGTGGTGGTGGTTGCACAATGTGAATATACTTAATGCCATTGAACTATACACTTGAAAATGGTTAAGGTGGTAAATTTTATATTATATGTATTTTACCACAGTTAGAAATAATGATTAAAAATAGTGCATAAACAATTGACTTTGAGCTGGATGAAAATTCTGGTAGAATGAAATCCACCAGGGAAGTACAGTTTTCTCTCTACTCTGTCCTGTAAGTCATTGCAGTATCCATTCATAGGACAGTTGATCTTCAAAGGTTGGAAGTAAAATATATTATTTACTGGGTAATTTATGTGACCTAATTTATCTGTAGTGGAAGATAGTGCCCTTTAAAATCTGTTGTTGATATTCTCACTTTGTTAATGTCAGCTACTTTTTCAGACTACACCCTTTTAGTTAAAAAGAAGACAGTTTGAGGCTGTCTTCCATTACTTAGGTTTAACCATGAGGAATGATCTCATAATTACAAATTGTCACCTCTAATAATTACTGAATCTTAGCAATGGGTAGGGTTTTAGAAGTTATCTCATGAACCCTCCCTCTGAAAATAGAAGAGTGGGAGAAAGGCATTTTTGCGAGGCTGGAGTAAGTCTGGGAGGGAGGAAGGCAGAGAGTTTGTTCTGAGGTTGGGTCTCCCTAGCATGAAGGCAATTAGCATGGACACTCTGAATTCTCCAGAACCTGAGATGTACATACTAAATTATGAGCGCAAATGTTCTTCCAAAGCCAAATATAAATAACATTTTGAAATTAGTTCCTAATTTATAGTTGATTAAGGGTTAAGTGTTTCAGGAAGAATAGACATTCTGTTATATTTAATCATTAAAAGGAAGAAGAAAAAAAAGAAAGCATATTTTCTAAATAAATAATACCAAAGGCAACTTCATGACGAGGTGTCTATTGGAGACAAAATCTGATCAGCCTGGGATTTAATAATGGCTCAAATTGAAGATGAGTTTATTTGTGTTAGTCTTGTGCTTGAGGAAGTTTGCTACAACTGTCTTTTTTCCCTGTTTCACAGCACAGATGATGAGCGATGAGCATTTCTTCACTTTGTCTGGATGTGACGTTTGAGACGTGCATGCCTCAGCACAGGCTCTTTGACTGTGTTTTCCCTCATTCTTAGCCTCTAGTGTGTCTGCTGTAGGATTGGCAAGAGAATCTGTGACTGGAGTTTTTGAGCTAAAATACTACACTCCTCACTGTCTTCTAGGCCAACCCTCTCTTCTACACTCTTGTTTTCTGTGTACAGTACATCCAAACTCTCTGTTGTGTGGGTGTGAGCCTTGAAATATGTGACCTAGTTATAAGACATGAAAGAAGCCAAGAGACAGAATTGAAGATGAAAACTGCAGGAAAACAGGATGTGATATGAGACCACACATATTTCTTAGTTCCTTTCTTAATTCAAATAACCATTTTCTTTCAAAATGGAGAATATCTCTGTGATATCTCTTTTGCCTCTTTGGTTAAAGTTCAGACCATGGCATGTGTGGTTTTTCACAATCTAGCCCCTTTCTACCACTCTACCGCTTGTGAGTCAGGCTCTGCTTGGTGTGTAATCCAGAAAAATCAGCTGCTTATGATTAAACACATCCTGGTTCCAGAGCACCTCACCAATACTGCATTCCCAGCAGATGCTGCTTTGTGTAGAATTTCTCTCTCTGTGTGTTTTTCTTCCCTACTGGACAGTAAGCTCTGCGAGGTTGGGCACCCAATTTATTCACCTCAGTGTTCACAGGATGGAGTTCTGCTGAGACAGACACATTTGAGATGCTTGATAAATAGGTTTGGAATTTAACCAAGTCCCCAATATGGCCCTAAACAGCCCTTTGCTGCCTCATCTCCTGGTATTTCCGTACCTGGTACTGAAGTCCCCCCCACCATGGGGACACCTCAAGCCTTTTGCTGACTCTGAGACTTTGTGCCTCCCATTCCCTCTTCTTAAAATGTAGCCCAACTCCTACCCGGCATGACACCTTCTTTGTATGATCAATTCTAGTCATCTTTCCAGATCCAGATCAAATTCTAGCTCCACACCTAAGCCTTGCCTCCGTCAAGCAGTGTTTTTTCCTTTGCATCCTTTCCTCTTACTGCCGTCCTTCTTATCTGTCCCTGCATCCACCAGGGCTCTCTCCCCTGCTAGAGTGGAGCACCTGCAGAGAAGGGTGGGCATTCTGAATTTTTAAAATATTTGCTAAATGTTTAATTAAAAAATTAATATTTGAATTAAAAAATGAATATCTCTATCTCACCGTCTGTGTATAATAGGACAAAATAGCCCCATTTGAAGGTCTCACCCGACTGTGTTTTCTCCTATAATTTCTGTTTTTAACTAAATTATGAGTTTTTTGAGTCTGCTTTTAAAGCCTTCTATTTGTTTGTTCCTGTATATGTTAATTTGACAAATAGGTTTTAAGAATTTACCATGTGCTAATAACTGGGAATGGAAAATATTTTTATTAACACCTAGGCTCAGTTACAGGAAGAGACGTTGGGGTGAAAGTTCCCAGTACCTAATTAACAACAATTATTTAAACCCTTAATATATTCAGTCACATCAACAAAAGGAAATGGTTGTGACAAAAGCCATATGTTAACCAAGGAAAGACACAGAAGGTTCTAGTATGGCCTGCAGTTGCTCCTTACTTGCATTATCTGTGCCTCTTGAAGTAATACTTGGGAAAGAATATGAATAGACATTGGCAAAATCCTAAGAGTTCTTGCCAGTACCCCTCCTCCCCTGCCTACAACAACTTTGGAGAGAATCACATGGAGAGAGGGTGAGCAAGAGGCTGGAAGAGTGGGGTCTATCACCTGCCTATCCCACAGATTCTCAGGTCCACAGCAGAGACAGGAAAATGGTCTCCATTTCCTGGGATCACACTAAGTTGGGGGAAATAATTTAAAAATAAAGAGTAGTCCCAAAAGGAGCAGAGCATGGCCTCTGCCAGTGGAGGGAATCCTGAGAAAAGTTGTTTAACAAAAACTTGGCAAAGTGCAGAGCCCAGGTTACCCCAGGAAGCTTCCCCAGCCACAGAGAAGTGACCCCTTCTCAGCCCCCATCCCACTCTCTATCATCTGTCTCTATCTCTATCATCTATCTCTGTCATAGAGAAAAGTGGGTATTACAGCAATACCCCAGGCTTAAACTGCAGTTAGGAGGGGAAGATAAATAGTTATCACATAAGGTGAAGAATGCATCAAGGAGAATTTTGCACTGAATCCCCTCTAGGTGGGGTTGGAGGCCTGATGGTATAAGAAGTTCATTCAATACCAATAAAAGCCAAGAAACACGGAATTCTGTCAACAAGGAGGACTTGGAATGGTCTGGGGCTACTGACTGGCACAGAGTGGACTTCAGGTCCACCCATAATCACTTCTTGGTAGATACCTTAGTTATCACTCTCTTGACCAAATATTAGGATATTAGGAGGGTGTTTATGCTTATCTTTTAAAAAAAAAAATTCCTTCATCTATGCCATATTTTGGGAATTTTCTTCACTTCAGTTTAAACTCTCTGTCCTTTTTAAATGTGGAGGATATTCTAATCAACTGCGTGTTGTATATTCTTAGGATACGTTGTTTTGAAATTTCTGCTCTCTTTCCTATCCTCCTGCATTAGTTGGGCAGACTAAAAGGAAACCTTACAGTCCACTTTATTTCTCTTCTTGGAAACCCAGAGCAAGCCTCAGTCTGGGCTGTCTGCTGACTTTTCTGTACTGGTCTTCTCCTGGTTTCCTAAAGGCACAGCCCACACTCCCCATCCTGTCCAGTGCTTCCAAACACTGTTCGATTTCAGAAATGCTTCCATTTGTCCAACCAGTATATCTTTCCATTCTGATTCTGGACACCTACATCTTCCAAAATGCTCATATTGAGTAAACAGGAAAAAATGGACTCTTTACATGTTGAACGATATATGCTTTTTCTATTCCATATTCTAGATCTCGCGGGTCATTCGTACTCCCCGGGGAAATGCCCTCCTGGTCGGAGTGGGAGGATCGGGAAAGCAGAGCCTGACAAGGTTGGCTTCATTCATTGCTGGCTATACTTCCTTCCAGATCACTCTGACAAGGTAACAAGCTTTCACTTTAATTAACCTGAAGTGGAATTTATTCATTTATTTTTTTTGGTGAGGAATATTAGCCCTGAGCTAACATCTGTTGCCAGTCCTCCTCTTTCTGCTGAGGAAGATTGGCCCTGGGCTAACATCCGTGCCCATCCCCCTCTACTTTATATGTGGGATATCGCCACAACATGGCTTGATAAGTGGTGCATAGGTCCACACTCGGGATCCAAACCTGTGAACCCTGGGCTACCAAAGAGGAGCATGCAAACTGAATCACTATGCCACCAGGCTGGCCCCCTGAAATGGATTTTGATAAAAGGTTCTCAGAGGGCACCTGAAGTTAACGATGCAATTTTCTTATACATGAAGAATCATAATAGTTTTTATTCTTTAATGTTGACTTATCATCTTCCCCTTTCAACCTCTGTCATAGACCATGAAAGTTGCACATTAACAATTTGCTTTTGAAACATTTCAGCCTCTCATTGCAATGAAGAACTTCCTCACTGTTTTTATGTTATGTGTGATATGAGTGTTATGTGTATTCCTTTTGATAGATTTCAGAAGAAATTTATCCCTACTAAGTGTTAATTCAGATTTCAAGAATGTTAATAAACTGGAAAAATAGATGAAAAATTTATATTGATTTACTCATTCATACATTTAAAAATATTTATTGAACACCAACTATGTATCAGTCACTGACTAGGTGCTGGAGAGTACGTGGTAAGCAAGGTAAACCTGCCCCTGTCATCATGGAGTTTATAGTAATTCAAAAGGGACAGACAACTGAGCACCTCATTCAGTAAGGTGGGATACATAAGTGCTATCTATGATATCTATGATAAGGAAATAAATGCAGGCCGGATTCTGTTGAAACATGAGGGAGGGACTCCTAACGTAGGCTAGGGGAAGGTCAGAAAAAAGATTCCTGGAGCAAAAGATGTTTAAACTGAGACCTGAATATGAGTAGGAATTATCTCAGAGAAGAGGAGTGTTAAAGAATGTTCCAGGCAAAAGGATCAGCACATAGGAAGTCATACTTGAGGCTGTGGAAGAAGTTAAATATGGCTAGGTGTACAGCAGAAGGTAGAAAGTAGGAAAGGAAGGGAAATGGAGACCTTAGAAGGTGTGACAAGGAGTTTGGACTTCATCCTAGAGCAATAGGAAACCTTTAATGAGTTACCACTAGGGAGGGCATGTCAGATTAGTATGGACAGAAAATGGATGGAGGGAGCTGGCCTGGAATAGTTATAAGGCTGTCTCAGGGGTCTAGGCAAGAGATGATGGTGTCCTGAGTGGGAGCAGTGAGAATGGAGAAATGAGGACAGATTCAAGAGATGGTTAGGAAGTTGGGGCTTTTGGACTTGGTACATACTGGTTCTGGCTTGGGAAACCAGATAGACGGTGCTGCTACTCATCCAAATAGGGAACCCCAGAAGAGATGCCCTTGGGATAGATGTGTGTAGTGCAGGGAGAATTAGGAAGTGAAAAGTCAACATGAAAAGATAAGCAGGGGTGATTCAGAGAGGCTAAACTGATTTTCAGGATTAACCAAGAGAAGATGAGAAGCAGGAGGCCGGTTGGGGAAGTTTAGTTGGGCTGATAATTATTAGAGGTTAATTTCTAGGTATGGGAGCAGGAAGTCTTGCCTCCTGGGCATTGATATAGAGCTTTGTCTTGGCCCAGGAGGGTAAAACATTCAGCTGATCTGTCTCATTCATGGGGGTCCCTAGTCACCTGCTAGGACGAAGGTTGAAAATTATTAAACATTGGGTTTAGAGATCCAGGTATTCAAGTTGCTATCGTTACACTTTTTATTTGGTCTGAATTATAGGGTTCTGCTTGGAGAATAAATCCAATAAATACCTTGTGTATAATTCTTCTAGTTTGTGGATAGAAGCAGAGTTAGATAAAAAATAACCTATACAGGAAAGGGGTTGGACTCTGAGATTTTTCTTCCTAATATTTGTGTAAAACCTTAAGTTTTCAAAGCACTTTTAGATGCACAAGCTAGTTTTGTCTTTAAAAGAACTTTGTGGGTTAGCTGGGCACGTAACATTAGCCCGTCTTACAGTTGAGACTCAGAGAGGCTATGACTCGTCTGAAATCCCAGATCTACCTGGGAATTGATCACGATATTTCTGGTTTCTGGTCTGGCTTGACTTTTGCTGCACCACACTGCCTCAGCGAAAACATGACTCCTCTCTCTGTGATAAATTAATTCCTCTGCATGTCCCACTGGGAGTGCTCCATTACTGATGAAAAGGAGGGTCAAGGCCTCCTTGCCTTCTCATCGCCTTCGGGAGACTATTCTACTGTGTAAGCCTTTGCACAGCCGTGTGGCCAAGGCTCAGGAAGCAAGAGCCTCATGTTTGGGAAGCAAAGTCATTTGTTAGATAACTCAGGTCGTATTATTTGAGGCAGCGGGGCCCTTGATCCAGGGGACTGGGCTGAAAGTTTTTCCCCTATCCCCAGAAGCTAGGGTGAGATATTTTCCTTTGTCTTTATTTTTTTTTAAGGGGGACTGTATCTTTAAAATTCTTTTCTAATTTCTCAGATCTCACTTCTCTAGAAGTCTTCCTAAAATATTGATGCATAGTAGTGGTATTTCTGGTTCTAGGGTTTAGGTTTTACATGTTAAAAAAAGCACAAAGTACAGAAGTTAAATATTTAGTAGCTTTTAAAAAATCGGAAGGCTGTTTGCTCTTGTGCTCTAAACTCTGAGTTTATTTAATGACATAAGATTCAATAGTAATTTAGTAAGTCTGAGTCTCCAGGAGGGGAATATCTTTATTTTCACTTTTGGCAGTAATGGGCTACCCTATGTTGGCACCTCTCTAGCATTTCATGATTGCAAGCTGACTTCCACTGAAGGATTGCTTTTGACAGTGCAAGAAGGTTTAGAATGGGATATCTCATAATGTTTCTAGCTATTCTACTACAGTGTACTGATTGCCCAGCAAATCCTTTCATGTGGAATCCAAAGATGCAATGGAAATAATTATGTTGGGGGATGAGGAGGGCACCATTTCTAATAGGGCATCTCCTTCACCCTGTATAATAAACGCTTGACATGATTTAGTTTAGTTTCATTTAATTTATAAGGTATCTTCTAAAATATTATTGCAGATGAGTGCTTAGGAAATTTTCCAATTTGACTTTTCTATTATCATTACTGACAAATATTTTCAAAATGAAACATATACACATTCAGATGACATTTAGTTGTGGTAAAAATTATATTTTTGTTTCACGTTGACTTTTCACTCTAGATTTTTTGTGTGTGTAGAAAAAAATTATTATAGTGTTTCATAAAATGTAGAGTTTTAAAAATTGATATTATCTTTGCAAGTAAATACTACTTGACTTGATGTTAACTAGACTTACTGTGGTGATCATTTCATGGTATGTAGAAGTATTGAATCATTATGTTGTACGCCTAAAACTAATATAATGTTATATGTCAATTATAGCTCAATAAAAAAATAGTTTTTGGCTTTAGTGAACAGCAAAGTACTCAGAACTTTACTAAGATGGTGCACTTCTCTTCCTCCCAAAGGAATAGCTATTAGAAACGGAAAGAAATAAAAAAAAATCAGTTTCATCTTCATAAGTAAATATAGTGAATGAGTAACATTCACATACAATAAAATACCTATCTGATGAAACAATATCAGCATTTTTTTGGTTAACCAAATGGAATAAAGCATCGTTATAAGGATCTTTCCTTCTCATCGGAATAGTTTTGGTTAATGACACAGTATTTCTTTAGATCCTACAACACATCAAATCTGATGGAAGACCTGAAGATTTTGTATAGAACAGCCGGTCAGCAAGGCAAAGGAATCACGTTTATTTTCACGGACAATGAGATTAAGGATGAGTCATTTTTGGAATATATGAACAATGTTTTATCATCAGGGGAGGTAGGAACTCGTTTATTCTTCATGTGTTTTGTCTCTTCAGTTTCCCTCCAGCTTTAGAGCTGTCTATATTTCCTTGCATTAGAGTTTTGAGTAAGTGCTGTTATTGGGGATTAGGTGATCAGTATGAAGAATGACTTTTTCTATCAGGTTTTTGGAGAGTAAAACTTCCAGTCAAAATGTGGAGCTATGCATTTAAAATGTCAATGACTGTTCCAAGTGATGAATGAAAAAACAGAAGAGGGAGATTACAAGGAAAGCTAATTGGATTATTGATATGTCCATTTACCTCCTTAGAGGGCTATGGCTTTGCACCTAATAATAGAATTGTCTATGTATTTTAAAATGTGGTATATTTCATCTTGAAGACCTTTGGTTAATTTTGTAAAGGTGAGGTTGAGAGCACAAATGGAGGAAAGACATTATGCTAACATATTGAGCTATATATTTCGATCTATTTTCATATGCCTGTTCTGAATTTGAATGTCTGCACTTCTTTTTCAGGTCTCCAACCTATTTGCTCGTGATGAAATTGATGAAATTAATAGTGATCTCATATCCGGCATGAAAAAAGAATACCCCAGGCGCCCTCCAACCAATGAGAACTTGTATGACTACTTCATGGGCCGGGTCCGACAGAACCTTCACATTGTGCTCTGCTTTTCACCAGTGGGGGAGAAATTCCGAAATCGAGCTTTGAAGTTCCCTGCCCTTATTTCAGGATGTACCATTGACTGGTTCAGCCGATGGCCTAAGGATGCCTTAGTTGCTGGTTAGTGTAGTGGAAATTTTATGCCAGAGTTTCTGGTCTACAGTGTTTATTTACATTCTGTGATGTTTGCCATCTCTGGACTGGATTGAGCCAAAAGTCACTTTGTCCAGTGTTTGAGGGTTTTTGCAAGATGGTGCTCTTTCTCATTTAATAGCTATTTTTTCCCAGAGCGTGGTTGTCAGAGAATGAGATCTTCAGTCTGTTACCCCTCGGATTAATGTGCAGTGATTCTCGTCTTTTCAGTGATGCCTGAAGACTTTGTCTCAGGTGGATCCCCAGGCAGGTTATGGGATGTCACAGGAAGGCACTGAGGTCTTAATATCTTTGATAGCATTTGTGTTCTTTCTTAAGTAGGTTGGTCAGCCTCAGAGTGGTTAAACTCAAATGTCTCTTGGATGTTTCCTTCTTGTGGCTGCAGTGCTGGAATCAAAAAGGAAGTCACTATCCAACAATCCTCTGATGGTTTCTATCCTTGACAAAGGATGTTAACCTCAGTGTCCTATGGCTGAAGTCCTTGCTTCTGTCTAATGTTCCATCCTATGGAACATTAATGCTTCTCTTACTCTATAAATGAATTGAACATAAAAGTAGTCTAGAAGATGTTAGAGATCATTCATGTAGTTTATGCGTTTTTTCAGCTTTTGGTGAGAAATTATCTGTGGATGATTTAAACAATATAACAGGTCTCACCTCTGACCTATTGTATCAGAATCTCAGGGGAATCCTGATTCAGGGTAGTGGTTTTCAAACTTTTTGTCTGATTATTGTGTTTTAATAATAATTAAGAAGAGTCTTATTTCCCGGGAAAACATTACAGGTAGCCCTAAGAGATGAAACAGTAAAAAGTGGAGGGGAGGAAGGATTCTGGAGGCTTGCCCTCTCACCTCACCCCACTCCTGCTACTCCCACATCTGCCTTCCCAGCTTTGTGGTACCCAGTGAGAGAACGACTGATTAACCCATCTCCTGCCCTTTATAGATGGAGAAACTGGGGAGAGTGAAGCTGAGGGAATTGTCAGAGGTTCAGGAAGCCAGTAGCATCAGCATTGGGGCTAGAACCCGGATATATAGAGATGTATCTATGTATCTACCTATGTACCTACCTATGTGTTTACCTATGTATGTATGTATGTATCTACCTATCTATCTATCATCTATCTGTTTTTTAACAAATTCCTATCCGCTGGGGAAGTTTTGTTCTCAACCCACTGCTATGACGATAATGGTTTCCCAATCTGTGGCTTTTAAACACAGAATATTCTAATATATTTGAAGCACAATGTACAGTTTTCTCTTTTGTCTTATAAGATTAGAGAAAAAACCAGTGATTTAAAATTTTAAGTTCTGTTAAAATGTAAATACAACTAAGGGTAAAACTTGAAAATTCCTTGAAGTAGGATATAAAGGTAGAGCACAAAATGACAGTATTTAAGAGCTCTATTCAAGTTTACTAAGAAATATGGTCATGCATCACTTATTTATGGGGATACGTTCTAAGAAATGCATCATTAGATGATTTCATTGTTGTGCAAAGAGTGTACTCATAGAGTGTACTCCCACAAACCTAAATGATATAGCCTGCTACACACCTAGGCTGTATGGTACTAATGTTATGAGACCGTTGTATATGCGGTCTGTGGTTGACTGAAACGTTGTAATGTGGTGCGAGACTGTATGATAATTAGTATGCAAGTACTTTGTAAAATATCATGTAAGGTATTATTATTAATAATAAAAATAACACCTTCAGGTGATAAACTGTAATATACCATAATTAAGATGATTTAATTTAAATATACAGCTCTTCCTGCCAAGTCCCAATTTCAATCATCCTTTCTATTACAAGACAAATGTCTTATTGATCTTTCTCCTTTGTTAATTTCTCACAAATTGCCCCATTCCTTTAAATCTCATCACATCAACTCAAGCTAAGATTACATGGAGGAGAGGAAAACTTTCATTTCTGTATCCTCAGTTTCTAGCAAGTGTCCTCACCTTCATGCCTGCTTCTATTTGTTCACTTATTCAGAACATGCTTATTGAACCTTATGCCATTTATTGAGGCAGGCTTATTGGAAGGCAAGGCAGACTCATTTCTTCACTCCAGATTCTCTTCCCAGGAAAGCTCATTCCCAGCCTCCTATATAATAATGGCTCATCAGTTTTTATTTCCAGTCTAGTCTGTCCTCTGGCTTGAAATCCGTGCATTCAACTGCCTGCTTGACACATTCTCATGGATGTTTCACAGGCTCCTTAAACTCAGAATGTCTAAAACTGAACTATTCTCCTCTGGTCTCCCTCTCCCAGAAAGTCTTACCGTGGTCCATCAGACCGTACATTCAAAGAGCTCTTTGTCTTTTACACTTCTTGTTCCTTCAGCTCTCAAGTCTCCTCCATCATCAGGTCATGTCGACTTTATCTCCTAAATAGTAGTGGAATCTATCCAACTCTTTCCCTTTCACTGACATCCTGGGCCAAGCTATCATTGTCACTCACCTGGAAAACCCAAATAGCTTTCTAATGATCTCTCCTCCTCTTTCACCTGTTTCCCATCCATTTCACATTGCTGACAGAACAGTGATAAAAACACAAACCCAATCACATTGCTTTCTAGTTAAAACTTTCCATGTCCTTTCATTGCTCTTTGGAAAAAGGCCACCTCTTTAGAATGGCCTTCAAGGTTTGGCTCTGCCTACCTCCCTAGCCTCACCTGAGGTCACATTTTCTTCCTGCTCTGTTCTCCTTGATCTTGAACATGCCCTTTTTCTTCCCGTGCAATGCCCTCCTCCTCCCATCCTCCCTACACCCTCCTCCCTTTGCCTGGATAATGCTGGCTCAGCTGAATGTCACTTGTCCAGGGAAACTGTCCGCTGATGCCCCTCTCCCCCAGTAAACCCGTTTCCCTGTATCCATTTCACAGCACTCTGTGCTTTTCCTTCCTGGGACTAACCACAGTTTGCAATTTATATACTTAGTTGTGTGATTTATTTGATTAATGCACATCTGTCCTGCTAGATTAAAAACTCCATGAGGTCAAGGACTATATATCTTTTTTGTTCACGGTTTTGGCAGCTACCAGTGCCTGACACTTATCGTGTTGAATGAATGAATCAGTCTGTCAAAATTCATCATCCTTCCATAACATGGCTCTAACTTACTTACAATCTTCTCTAACTCAACACAAACCTTCTCTTTTTTGTTTGTTCTCTGAACATGCTTTAATTAATCATCCTTATGATTCCACAATTGTCCCCCTTATCAAGAATGTTCTCTCTCATCTTCTTTGTTTATCTAAGTTCCAGGCTTAATTGAGTCTCATCACATCCTTTGCTCTTCCTTTGTTCACTTAGGGATATTTAAATTTTTTCCCCTTTTCTTGGACATCCTATATCTATAGCACTTAAACTTTACATAATGCACCTGGACGTTTAAATCTTTTTAAACCTTTTGATAACCAGTAAGTTTTTGTGATTATGTCTCTAATCTAGTTTAGTAAGTATTTACAGCCTGTGTACTATGTGAATATTTAGTACTGGGCTAGTCACAGTAGTGGATAAAATAATTATAAGACATGATACATAGCTCCTTTCTTTAGTCAATATAAAATGTTTTTGGGAAAACCAACATCTACACCTAATACCAAGCTGCCTTCTGTTGTTTTGAAAGAATACCCTCTTTGAGTATTCGTACTTACTACACTTAGGGATCTAAGTGTTATTTATTGTTTTTAGAAAATCAGCAACAAGATTTCTAGAAAAACCATCGTTTAAGTTGCCTTAAGGATGCTGATTCTGAATTAAATTATTATCTCCAGCCACATCAATAAGGAAATATTTTGTTTGTGTTGAATATATTTCATTTAGATTACAGTAAATATTTCCCATAAAAGTATTAAATTATTGTGTATTTTTCTAATTTATTTATTTTATTCTTTAAGATGCACTTTATTTTTTAAACCACTGTGTTGAGATATGAATGACATACAAACAGCTGTACATATTTAATGTATACAACTTGGTAAGTTTGGAGATAAGTATACATCTGTGAAACTATCACCGTAAGCTATGCCATGAACATATCCATCACCGCCAAAAGATTCCTCTTGACTTCTTTAATGATGATGATTATGATGATTATTTTGCGATAAAAACACTTAACATGAGATCTACCCTCTTAGGAAAATTTTAAGTATACAATGCAGCATTGTTAACTGTAGGCACTATGCTGTACAGAAGATCTCTAGGACTTACTCATTTTGTATAACTGAAACTTTGTACCTTTTTTTTTTTAATTGATGTTTTAATGGTTTCTAACATTGTGAAATTTTTGGGTTGTACATTTTTGTTTGTCCATCACCATATGTATGACTCCCTTCACCCCTTGTGCCCACCCCCCACCCCTACTGCCCCTGGTAACCACAGTCCAGTTTTCTCTGTCCATGTGTTGGTTTATATTCCACATATGAGTGAGATCATACAGTGTTTGTCTTTCTCTTTCTGGCTTATTTCACTTAACATAATACGCTCCAGGCCCATCCATGTTGTTGCAAATGGGACGATTTTGTCTTTTTTCATGGCTGAGTAATATTCCATTGTATATATATACCACATTTTCCTAATCCAGTCGTCAGTCGAGGGACACTTAGGTTGCTTCCACTTCTTGGCTATGGTGAATAATGCTGCAATGAACATAGAGGTGCATAAGCCTCTTTGGATTGTTGATTTCAGGTTCGTTGGATAGATTCCCAGTAGTGGGATGGCTGGATCATAGGGCATCTCTATTTTTAATTCTTTGAGGAATATCCATACCGTTTTCCATAGAGGCTGCACCAATTTGCATTCCCACCAGCTGTGTATGAGGGTTCCTGTTTCTCCACACCCTCTCCAACATTTGTTGTTTTTTGTCTTGGTGATTATAGCCATTCTAACGGGTGTGAGGTGGTATCTTAGTGTTGTTTTGATTTGCATTTCCCTGATGATTAGTGATGTTGAGCATCTTTTC